AGGAAGGTGGACGCCTCTCTGCCTTCCTTACTAGGGAACGTGTGCTCAGCCCAGACATTTCACCCCCTCCTCTCCCTGTCCTGCAAGCTTCTCTCCCAAGGCAGGTGGACAGGGCAGCTGGGCAAAGGAAGGCCAGCTTTCCCCCTCCCACTCACTGGGTGCAGTCCTGCACCCCTCCCTTCACTCTGTTCCCAGAAACAGAGGACAGTCGCTATGCCTCAGGCTGAAAGGCTCCGTGTTCCCTTGGTGACTTCACTGTAAGTTGAGTTCCCTGAAGAGTGGGAGAGGACAGGGGACGGGGTAGGAAGGGTGGACAGGCTGCCCCGGGACCCGAATTCACACCGAATTCCTCACGGCGCATGTACACCCTCCCTAGGTACCACTCTGTCTTCAGGGACAGGAATGGGCGGCATTTCCATAGGGAGGTACCAGGGTGAGGAGGTTCCGGGAGAGGCAGGGACACTGGTCTCGGAGGTGCGGTATGTGCTGAGCATAGGCCTGTGGTCCCCGCTTCCAGGAGCCTTAAGGGTGGGGGCTGGAGAGGAGGTGGAAGGTCCCCACAGAGGCAGGGCGGGGGTGAAGCAGGATGCTTAGGAGCCCACGGGCTTCAGCTTTGGCTGCCCTGCTCTGCTGGGGCACAGACATACTTCCTGGAACACCTCTAGCTTTCCTGGGAAGGCTCTTCACTCCCCACCTCCCCTCTGGCTCCCACACAACAGGAACTCTCCTTGAAGAAGGGACTTGGAGCAGAAGAGACAAAGGCATCTCTGTACCATCTCCCCCCACCCCCAGGGACGGTTAGGTCAAGGTGACCTCAATCCGTTCTCCCCAAGGTAGGGGCATCAGCAGGGCCTCCTTCACAGCTAACCTGGTCTCCAAGGGCCAGAAACAGGACTTGGGATCATTGTTCCCTTCCTGTATAACTCAAACCCACCTCTGTGTAACACACAGGTCACACGGCCTCGTTCAACAGAGCAGGGGCAGGGACCAGCATAGCGACGGAGGCGCCACGCTTGGTGCCACAAAACAACCATGGGCTAGAGTGAAGACTACGGTGTGCGCTCAGGGTAGGGAAAATTACAAAAGGTTGAACGGAGATCCTGCCCACAGAGCCGGGCAACTTGGATCCTGGTGCCAGCTGTGCATTTACTGGCCAGACTGCTGTGGACAGGACTCTTTCCTGGACTAATCAAAGGGGAAAATTCTGGTTCTGCCCACCTTCAAGGCTGTTGCAAAGATCAATTGAGTTGAAGAGCTCAGCCACGTTTGTACATGAATATACCATGATTCAGTTCAAGATATGTGCATAGAGTGTGAACTACAGACTAGGCTAGGGATTATTATGATTCCTATTAAAATGCAGCCAGTCTTCTTTTGGGGAATGTCTTCCTGTGAGAATTTTTTTTAATCTTTCTTCATTCCCCATGTAATGCTGTGACTTGGAATAGGGGATGAGAGGCAGTTAGGGGTGGCAGCCTGGGACCCCAGCTCAGTTTAGACGCGAGGAGGTTTCTGATCTTCCTGAACCCCCCATTCTCTATGCCTCAGTTTTCTCCTCTGTAGTCTGGGCCCGTAAAACCACCAGGGTGCTTTGCTTTGTGGTGGGAAATAGCAGAGACCAAACCAGGGGACTGAAAGCAAAAAGAAACCCCAAATTTGACAGTTCCGGGTAGTTGCGTTATCCGGAGCCCTAACCACAGTCACCTCTGCCCCCAGCCTAACGCTGACACCCTTCCCTCCTCCACTCTCTTGGTTGGCCTTTGCCCATCCTGGGAAAGCTCCAAAGCTCCTCCCCTCCCACTGCATCTCAAAAGGAGAACAGAGGCACAAAGAAATGGAGAGCAACCCAGGCAGAATCAAACAGAGACCCAGACAGAGACTTAGAGAGAAAGAATCAAATGGAGAATCAAAAAGCAAGAGGAAGAAACATGCAACAAAGGACACCCGAATTCAGGGCCTCACAGAGAGGCCAAATGGGGACAGATCCAGAGGTGCAGGGAAACAGCTGTCGCCACTGGACACAAGGGGGAGAGGGGGGCATGTGAGAGCTCTGAAGGCACCAGGGTGTACCCTTTTAGGCCAATCCCTCTAGTTTTGTTCATGGGCACCCCAATGCTAGCTTTTTTTTAGGACCCAGGAGGACCCACCCCCCTAGCCAAGCCCAGTCCCATCCAGCCAGATGTTTGGTGTGCAGGGCTGCCAGCTGGAGCAGCAGGCCCCCGCAGGCCCTGGGGAGGAGGCTGGAGAGGCGACTGCCTGGAAGTGGGGAGGCAGGGCCCCCATTCTGAAGCTGGCATTCCCATCCCACCCTTTCCAGATGCCCAGATGCGGTTGCATGGCAAGGGTGGTCCTCTCTTGGAAACTCAAGGAATCTGCTCCCACTGACTGACTTAGCCACCTGCTCACAGTGAGAGGCTGGAGGGCACAGGTGCCACATCGGGCCGACCCACTGTGTCCTCGTGACACTGACCGGGTCACTTCCCCTCTCCAGCCTGTGTTTCCCCATTTGTAAAATCATCTTTACGTTTTTTTTTTCCAGCTCTGACACTTGGCTGTCATTCTAGGTGAGCCCCTAGCTGTGTGTCAGGCCCTCCTCTGCCAGATCCGTTGCACAGGGTAGAGGAAGGAAAGAGGGAGAGGCACTGTGCTTCCTCCTCCCTAGAGCAAGTTTTCCCCAATCCCTTGAACCCCTTTACAGTTTTCAATTCCTTTCCTTGCGATCCTGCCAACTGAGACCGTGACCACGCATGGAAGTGTGTCGGGGGTGGGAAGGGGAGACAATCCAGCTTCTGCAGCTTTAAACTTAGGTTTTCTCTGACGTGAAAGAATGCAAGTGGGGAGGTAGTGAGCGGTAAGAAGATGGGGGGGGCACATGAAGGGGGGGACGGCATGGAGAGAAAAGGGCAGATCCAAGAAGGAATTCGGGTGGGAGGGAGGGAGAGGAGAATGATTGCCCCCAGTACATGAGGTCTTGGCCCAGCTGGCCCTGAGTGGGCTGCCAGACTGGCCCCTCCCTTGGTGCTGCCAATACCAGCTGCCAGGCACGGGGGCGGCCCCAGAGGAGAGGGAAGCTGGGTAAAGGGAATGGAAGGCTTCCAGGGCAGCCTTGCCCAACTCCACAGGCCCCATAGGGGGGCTCTCGGGGAGGGGGCTGGGACCCAGGCGAGGCTCAGGGAAGGTGTGCCCTGCTCTGTCAAGGCATATAGGCAGTCCTGAGCTTGTGACGATTCAAGACACCCCTCTCTGGACTTTCTGAAGACAGGACCAGCCTCAGATGTGACTGGGCTGGGGTGAGTGGAGAGGCAGGATCATGTATGGACCATAGGCTGCGGACTAGGCCCTGTGCCCACTGTGGGACCCTACGCAAGCCCCCTCACCTCTCTGGATTCCATTTCTTATCTGCATAATTTCAGGGGGTTGAAACATTTGCCTGCCAGGGTTTTCTTTTTTCTACTGCAGGCGGGGGGTGCACAGTGGCGGGAGTGATGGAAGGAAGGGCGGTGGGGCCCCCTGGGTGAGCTGCCTTCTCTGGAATCCCCGGTCTTTCCCCTCAATACGCTTTGTCTCTGAGATTACAAAAGCTGTGTCCCCAACCCACACAAACACACACGCACACACACACTAAACTTTTTAAATCTAGAGACTCAAAAGATGACAAACGCCAGGGCTGGAAGGCAGGTCCAACCCTTCCCTCCTCCCTTTTTACAGATGAAAAAACTGAGGCCCTGCGTTGGGATTTCCGAAGCCCGGGATTTCCCAGCCCTCCCACCCTCATCCTCCAGCCACTCCGTCCGCGGCAGCTCCGCGGGGCCGCCGGCGAGGGCTGGCTGGGACTCCCGGGTGACCCGGCCATCGGGGCAGCCCATGTGCTCGGCGCCAGCCCCGCCTCGCTGCCTGGGGCCCGGCCGCGGCCGCCGCCGCTGTGCACTCGCCGGGGAGCTAGCCACCAAGGGCGGAGGCAAGGAGGGAACGACCGAGGCTGGGAGGGGTGTTGGCGAGAGCTCGCGCGCTGTGTATGGTCTATCAGAGGCAGCTGACCTTTGAGGAGGAAATCGCTGCTCTCGGCTCCTTCCTGTAGTAACAGCCGCCGCCACCGCCTCCGCCGCCGCCAGGACCCCGGGCCGGGAGCGAGCGTCAGCCCCGCAGCCTGACGGCTCTGCGCGACCAGGTGGGTGGCCCGGCCGCGCGTCCCCGGCGGCGCGCGCCCAGAGGGCGACCCTGGCTGCTGCCCCGGCCCCCTCACCGCGGGACCCGGAGCCCGACGGCCGTAGGGGTGCAGGGGACGGTCCCCGGGACCGAGAGGGAGTTTCGGCGCAGCGCGCAGCGCGGACGAGAGACGAGGGACGCGGGACGCGGGACGCTGATGCAGGGAGGGAGCCGAGGGTTGACGCCATCCTCGCTGGCAGAGGGCAGGGGGCGCTGTCGGACTGGACAGTGGGAGACCTCGGGGCACAGCTTGGGGGACGCAGCCCAAGAGAGGGAGTGTCTGTCTCCCCAGCCCTCTCTCCTTAACCCCATCCACGTGCTTACGGTGACAGAGCCGTCCAGTGGGAACCGTCGGTGGCGTTGCCCAAACGTTGGGCTGGAATATCCCCCGTTCCCAGAAATGGGGACTCGGGGTTCGAAGCAGGGTGGGGGGATTCTTGCAGCCCTCCCCAGAGGGCTCTTGGGCCTCCGCCATCAAGTTTCTCTTTCAGTTTCTAGCTGTTCCCACCCCGGGGAAGCCCCGGTGGGGCGAGGGGAGAGGAAGAGGGGGAGGGCACCTGACTTTCGGGAGCCCCTCCCCAAGCCTCAGCGGGTTCCTCGCTGGAGGGAAGGGCGGCCTTCCCCTCTTCACCCTCTCTCTTCCCGCACAGGAAAGCGTGTCTGTGGGAGGGGAGGGGCCGGGCCTGACTGCGGTCCAGGGATGGGTGGGCATGGCAGGGCCAGGGGCAGGCCCAGCCCTCGCCTCTAACAAGGAGGCGCCTCTTCAGCCCTCTGCTCGCGCTAGGTGAACGGACATGGCGGGCTGGATCCAGGCCCAACAGCTGCAAGGAGATGCTCTTCGCCAGATGCAGGTGCTGTATGGGCAGCACTTCCCCATCGAGGTCCGGCATTACTTAGCGCAGTGGATCGAGAGCCAGCCGTGGTAGGTGCCCCTGCCTGGTGCCATCCAGGCCCCTTGGCCTTTAGGTCTCCTCTTTGTGGTTTGGTGAGATTCTGGTCCTGTCGGTCCCGCTCTGTGCAGAAGGGGCGGTGTCCTTGGGAAAGGGGAACAGGGAAATGGGAGTCTGGGATTGGAGAGGGAATGTTTCTAGACTCTGGTGCCTGTGGAGCTGCCAGGAACAAGTCTTGTGGGCACGAGCCTTGGATTTCCACGTCCCTCTTGGTGCCTGACCTCCATGCCCAAGGAGGCGCCATAGCAGGCTTCTCTCTCCTGCCCTGCCCCAAGGGATGCCATCGACCTGGACAATCCCCAGGACCGACCCCAGGCCACCCAGCTCCTGGAGGGCCTGGTGCAGGAGCTGCAGAAGAAGGCAGAGCACCAAGTGGGGGAAGACGGGTTCTTACTGAAGATCAAGCTGGGGCACTACGCCACGCAGCTCCAGGTGGGTGTGAGCTCCGGGCCACGCAGCTCCAGGTGGGCATGAGCTCCAGGCCACGCAGCTCCAGGTGGGTGTGACCTTGGGGCCTCGAGGCTCCAGGTGGGTGTGAGCTCCAGGCCATCTGCAGGGTGCAGTGTCCGCCTTCTCTTTTCAGCACCAGAACCCCTGGTATTTTTCCTGGTTTGGCCACTGACTCACCGTATGACCCTGAGCTTATCGGCAACCTTTCTGTGCTTCGATTTCCCCCACCCCCTCTTTCTAAATCAGACCTGTCAGATTCCCCTTAGCATGTTATAGAGCAAGAGGTGGGGCGTGTTTGTCCCCAAGAGAAGGGGGATGGGTGAAACTGCATTCTGGGCAGATCAAGCAGAAGGGGTGGGGGTAGAGCAAGTCGAGATTCTGTTGTCAGAGATACTGACAGGTTCTAGAAATGAGGCAGCGAGGCAGCCACACATCCCTCTTGGGGCTCTTTTAAAGGCTTTTCAAAGAGCTGCTGAAGTCGTGTGCAAGAGGAGCAGAGTTGTCCTGGAGCCTTGAATTAAGGTTTTAGATGTAAGGCGTAGCTTCTTCTTCACCTGAGGGTGCGGGGGGAAGGAATATAGGGGAGAGAGGAAGTTTTTGTGGCAGCAGGAAAGGGGTGAGGGTGGTAATCATAGCTGAGCATTTGTTGGAACTCACTTGAATATTTAGAGAGCCCTCCTTAAATACCAGCAGCAGGGTGCCAGAAAAAGAAAAAGTCCATCCCAGAAGAGGCAGGAAACACAACTTGGTGGGAAGAGGGAAGCAAAATAGGAACCCAGGGCCAGGACTATAGTGGAAGTACCTTGACTTTGGCATTAGATGCCCTGGGTCTTGAGTCATCTGCTCACTCCTTTGCCTCTGGACAAGTACTTAATCTCTCTGAGCACCAGTTTTCTCATCTGTGAAATGAGGATAACAGTTTCTGCTTATGTCATAGGGTTTCTATGATACACCAGTCAAAGGAGATGGCAGATTGGAAGTGCTTTGTAAACTTTTTCTAACGCACTGCAAACCAGTTATGAAGATCTGCGAGGGGAAATCAAGTCAGGGAGAGATAGAGGTTCTGGTGACAGTTCCTGAGGCTTCCCAGGGGAAGCTGAGGCAGGGGCTGGGGGAGAGGAAGGGGTGGGCGTGGCACTGCAATGGTCATGGTGGGAGCAGAGGATGGCCACTGGCAGCTGCTGTTGGATTCTTTCAGAACACATATGACCACTGCCCCATGGAATTGGTGCGCTGCATCCGCCATATTCTGTACAATGAACAAAGGCTGGTCCGAGAAGCCAACAATGTGAGTGTCCCATGGGTTTGGGGAGAGGTTTTGGGAAGTCCTTCTACCTGCTTTTGTATGTTTTATAAACACTGACGTGAGAAAGCACCAAAGAAATAAAAGACATGGGCAAGTGTGAGAGGCAGTATCACATGCAGGTGGAGACTGACACCCGACCCCCACTCCCCGGCTTCAGTCCCTGGCTCTACGACTTACTAGCTGTGTGACTTGAGCAAGTTACTTAACCTCTCTGAGCCTCTGTCTTTTTCTATTATAAATGAGGACAGTCATAGTATCTACCCTGTAGGGTTATTGTGTGATACTATGTGGGCAAAGGATACACAAACACAAATGAAACAGAAAAGGAAGCCCTAAAAACACACATACACATCAGGAGATGCAATCTGTGTCAGCGATGGCATTACAAATCACCAGGAAAAAGATTTGTCATTCAATAAATGGGGCTGGAGACAAAAGAAGAAATATCCTCTGGTGTGGTCTATGAGGGGAAACAGAGCCGAGGTCTATGTCAAAAGTAACCCGGCAAGCTCAGAGAAGCGAGGCCTAGCGAGGCCTAGCGAGGCAGAGCAGGGACTCATCCCCCATGTTCTGAAATCATAAAGGCATCAGACATTGCTTGGACAATGGTACAAATGGTATATTATCTGCAATAAAGCAAAATGAATTTCATAAAATGATATCCCATAGGTAAAGACCACAGACTAGTGCCTGGAGCAAAGTCATATTTATTATTTACTTGTGGTGGAGACTGATTTCAAGAATTTGAGAGTTCATTCAGTAAACATTTATTCAGGTCTTGCTGTGCATCTGACACTGGACTAGGACGGGAAAAACAGATAAAGTCCTGGTCTCCACCTAAAGGGAATTCAGGCGATGATAGATTCTTTAGGTGTCAGCTGAGTGCTAAGCGGGCCTCTTTGGAAAAAGGATCCAACTCAGACTGGAGTAGGCTGGCTGGTGGAGGGGAGGGTGTCCTGAGGAAAAAGATGCCCGAACTATAGTGGGAAAAGAGGGAGGAAAGAGGCAGGATGAGTTTTCTAGTCAAAAATAACAGCAGTATATGTGAGGGCAGGAAGGTACAAGCCACCTTGTGACATTCAAAGAACTGTAAGTGTTCAGTGCTACTGGGGAGAAGGGAGCCAACTGGGCAGAAGCCAGGTCACAAAGGGTCAACTGGTACAACTCTTAACTTGGTGCAATTACAGAGCTATCTGTAAATGTACAAATGAGTTCGGCTGCAATTAAGAAACACATGCCTACGATGCAGGTGCTGTCATGGTTGGGGGGAAATAATTGTTCTCCCAGTCATCAAGCTGTTCTTCAACACCTCTGATGTCCTGGGCCTTGGGGATTTTGTGGTGCACAAGACAGACAAGGTCCTAAGCCTTAAGGAGTTCACATCCTAGTGCAGGGAGGCAGACAAGAAAGAACATGCAGGCTTCCCTGGTGGCACAGTGGTTAAGAATCCGCCTGCCGATGCAGGGGACACGGGTTCGAGGCCCGGTCCAGGAAGATCCCACATGCCGCGGAGCGGCTGGGCCCGTGAGCCATGGCCACTGAGCCTGCGCGTCCGGAGCCTGTGCTCCGCAGCGGGAGAGGCCACAACAGTGAGAGGCCCGCGTACCGCAAAAAAAAAAAAAAGAAAGAAAAGAAAGAACATGCAAGAAAAAGGTACCTTCGGTAAGGGAGGTCCTATTTTAAATTGGCTCATCAGAGAGGGTCACTCTGAAAAGGTGCCAGTGGAAGTGCCAGCAGGAAGGTTAGGCCCTGAGGCAGGAACATGCTTGTGTATTCAGGAACAGAAAGTAGTTGGCGTGCTTCAGCAGCAGTGGCGCTGCGGGTAGGGTAGGCAGAGGCTGTCGGCTAGGGGCGTGGAGGGTGTGGAAGGAGTTTGGATTTTATTCTGAGAGAAGGTCATTGGAAAGGCCCTAAAGACTTGGTTGAAGGGATAGATCCGACCAGGTTAGTTAAATGACTGGATCCACAAAGCCCTTGTGGATGCCTCCCCTGTCACTTCATTTGGGGTCTCCAGGATGCCACCTGTGAGCGG